GTCAAGTGTATATCCGGTAGTTTGAGTGTAAATCCGGTGAGTTGAACTAAACGGGCAGGAGTGTTAAAACCGGTTAGATTATCTTAAATCCGGTAAGTTCCACTCTTTGATTCAAATATTCCAACAATTATCACTTCTAATAAAATTTTAATACTTTTTTCTACTTATCTAAAAAAATTGTAACTAAATGAAAATTTCTTCCAGAAGCGTTTTCTTCTCTTGTAAAATTGTCTCCCATCACGTAACAAGGTACAATTATACCAGCTTTTGGGAACGTTAAACGCAAGTTAGAATACATGGTAAAATTAACGCACGATGTAACCGATCGCCAGTACTATAATCCAAAAGACTACAGGGAAAAAAATTTAAAATTATGTACACTAAAAAGAAAAAAAAAATCGTAACTATAAAAGCCACTTAAAATACAAGCAAAATTTTGAAAAACTTCAATAATAATAATAATAATAATAATAATAATAATAATAAGAGGGAATTCAAGACTCACCTTAATCAGCAGGGAGAACATAGATTACAAATTTTTTTGAGGAATAGGGTTTTGATTACTGAAGTGTATAAATAAATGAAAAGAAGCTTGTTGCAAAAGCTGATGAAAAGATTCAAATACATTTTTCCCCTTTATATTGATTTGTGTTTTGTGTGAGATTATGATTGCATTACTGGATGCACAAGCAAAGCACCAATCAAATTCTGTACAGTTGTAGCCCTCGGGACACATCTCAACCGGCAGAGAACAGGCTCCTAGTCGCTGACAGTTCAGAGGTCGTGAGTTCGATTCGTGGAGCTTTTGGAAGGTAGGCTCTCTCCTGGAATGTGGGATTTATTCTGGAAGGTATGAGTTCTCCTGGAAGGTAAGGTGCAACATGTGTTGACTCGCTCAACACTTTGGCACATCAATGGAGGGGGGCTCTTGGACCCTGGCCAGTTTGTGGCACATTCCGCGGTTTCACTACAACAAAAACAGCCTACGGCAACGTTTGGACGTGTGTTGCAAATCCAAGTGTTGTCTAGAGTCAGAGGGATACGGCAACGTTGCCAAACGTTGCGGTAGAGGTCTACCGCAACGTTTGTCCAAACGTTGCGGTATCTCTCTACCGTATCGTTTGGCAAACGTTGCCGTAGAGGTCTACCGTAACGTTTTCCAAACGTTGTGGTATCCATCAAACGACATTGCATACGGCAACGTTTGCCAAACGTTGTCGTAGGTCATTTTAC